CTTTGCTTAGCTTAGCTTGTTTTAAGTAGATGCTTTAGACCACTGAGCCATCTCACCAGCCCCTATTTTTCTATTTTTAAGACAGGTTCTCACTAAATTGCTAAGCTGCCCAGGCTGGAACTTGCTATCCTCTTGCTTCAGCCTCCCAGAGTGCTGGGATAACTATGCACCGCCACAGCCAGCTCTTTGTCCTGACCTCTTGTCCCAGTTCCATCTCCAGTTCAGTGTGGGACCATTTTTACTGTTTCTGCCTTCTGTAAAGAATTTTCAGGATAGTTTCCTTGGGGGTCTAGCCTAATAACCTAGAGTTCCCTTAAGGTCTAGGCTAATAAACCCTTTGTCTGCCTCCCCCCACCTCAAAACAGGGTGTCTTTTCTCCTTTCCTAGTCCCAAGGCCAAAACCGCCCTCTTCCCTGACCATATATCCCTCTTCTTGTTACTGTGTGAGAGGAGCCTGATGCTGGGAGAGGTCTCAGTCTCAAACACTGCACCTGCCCTGCAGGAAGACACCAAGTGCAGGGTCTTTCTGGAATCCCCAGTGCCTGCCAGCCTCTGGTTCTGACAGGAGTATCTGTCATTCATTTCAAATGAAGAATTTAAAGGAGATAATGACAAGATAATGTCAAATAGGGTGGTGGGGTCAAGGGTGGTTGAGTTTAAAAAAAAAAAAAAAAAAAAGGGCTTAGCTCTGAGCACAGTATCACCTTCAGTGTCACAGTACCTGGGCCTGCACCTATATTTTGGGTAATTATATTTTGTATGCTGCAGTTGTCTATTCTGTAAAATGGGTTGTGCCTAAAGCATGTTTTTTTTTTTTTTTTTTTTTTGGTGGAACCAGGGGTTGAACTCAGGCCCTTGTGCTTGTCAGGGAAGTACTTATTCTGAGCTATCTCCCCAGCCCTCTAAAGCATTCTCATTATTTGGACATCCCACATAAAATGGAGGAGGAAATAAGGGGGCAGCTGGGAGACTGGGCAAGTGGCAGAGCTGCGAAATTCTCCTTTGGAATGGCTTTACACAAACCCTAAATGAAAATCTCACACAATGAACTTAACAGCTGTCCCTGAAACCTCTCTTGAAGGTATGTATCCAGGGCAGAAAGCTCTCCTTTCTTTGTTCCCACAATCATTATAACCCATCCATGATAAAAGCCATTAGAAGGAACTTTCAGCCCGGCATGGTGCTTTATACCTGCAATTTCACCAGTCTGAAGCAAAATTGCAAGTTTGGGCCTAACCTGGGCCATTTAGCAAGATCCTGGCTTAAAATAAATTTTTTTAAAAATTTTATTTATTTTGTGTGTGTGTGTGTGTGTGTGTGGCCAGCTCAGTGCACCAGGGGGTGGGGCTGGCTGGCATGTGGTGCTGGGGGATTGAACCGTGGTCGCTTTGCTTTACTAAACTTGTTCTAAGTAGGTGCTTTAGACCACTGAGCCATCTCAGCAGCCCCGCCTGGCTTAAAATAAACATGGGGATGTAACTCAAAGTGTGAAGGCTCTGGGTTTAATCCCCAGTACTGGGAGGGGGAAGAGACACAGTGGGAAAATGGGTGGAGTTCCCACTTCCGCCCTCCTCTATCCCCGGCTCTGGCCATTTTATAACTCAGGCTGACACTGGACACTCAAGGTCCCAGAGCTGCATCACCGCTCTGGAAAGGAGGTCACAGTGCCTCCAGGTGCCCTGCCCCACTTCACTGGGTTGCTGAGAAGAGGTTCAGAGGAGCCACCCAATTCAAAACGAATTAAGCAATGGGAAAAAGTTAATTAGCCTCTCAATATTTAATTTCCTTTCTTGATAATGTTTAAACTGGCTCTATAACTCTATAGATCTGTTCCCAGCCAATTCAGGAAGATGGAAAATCCTTCCCCACCTGACTCTCCCTCTTCCCACACCAGCAGCTCCTCTGATGGCTCCGGATATTGGCTTCTCTGGGGATCTTTGGTTTATGGAAGTCAGAGGTAAATATTGACAGAAAGTACACAAGTCCAGGTCAGACATGAGTGAATGGCGTAGACCTGCCTTCAGAGGTGGGAGGGAGCAAGGAAGGGCACAGTGACGGAACACTGGGCAGGGCTGGGCCCAGCCAGCTGGAGCCTGGAGCTCCCCTCAGAGTGCAGAGGCAAGGCTGTGGTGCAAGGCTGGGCCCTGGCTCTCTTAAGCACAAAGCCATGGAGCTTTGAACCTGCACCAGGAGCGACAGAGGTTGAGACAGTTCTTCCAAGCAGGATTTGGGAGGTAACAGAAAAGGATGGTCAAAAGTGTAAGGAAGGGACCTGGCTATCAGGAGTCACACCCAGAAAAGCTCTGGCAACATTTTTTTTTTTGCGGGGGGGGGGGGATGAAGATAGGAAGGGGTTTTGGTGGAGGAAAGGATGCACAAGCTACACTGTTCTCTGGAGAGTTGTGGGCTTGTCCACACCCTCTTTGGGATCTGTCTCCAGATTTCCCATTTTGATTCCAAACCCATAAGGGAACATTGCAAGATAGCACAGTCCCTTCTCTTGGTGGTTTTTGGAGGTGAACATTCCACCCACTCCCACCAGCCTTGCTCCACCTTACAGGTATGGTTCTCAGCTGCTGCAGGCCACCATGGAGGACAGCTGCTAAAAGCCCGGTTACTGTTTGGAATGTGAAGCCCTGGTGCTTTCAAGCCGAGTAGCCAAAGGAGGCAAATGGAGGGCTGGCCCCTTCCTGCTTTGCCTACCTAGTCCAGCATGCTTTTTGCACCCATGGGTAACACGAGAACCTCTCCCACCCAGGATTCCCACAGATGAGAAAACACTTTGTAAGGGCCAGATGCCCGTGCAGGGGAGGGTGCTGCCCAACCCCCTACCCCAGTGCAATTTCAATTCCTCTTTCTAGCTGGGGTCTTGAGCACTTTCTTCTCATCTTACCCCAGAGGCTCCAATGGGTGCATAGCCTGGGACTCCCTACCATCACAGACCAAGCACAGTGTTATCAATAAGAAACAAGAAGTGAGAGAACCCCAAGCCCCCCCCAAAAAAAACAAGAACTGAAATCAGCTATCTCTTGCAGAGGCAAAGAGCAAACGAGCTCTGAGAAGGGGTCATCCGAGGTGTCTGACACTAGAAACACCAGGGAAGGGGTGGGGGGACTAGATCTGAAAAGAAGTGACTCTCTGGACAGGGTAACAGGAACTGTGCCAGAAGGACCAACAGGCACAAGTCACTTCAGAGCGCAGTACACAAAAAAGATGAAAACAAGTTTTGTATACTGGAGTTTCCAAGAGTCCCTGGAGCCGAGGGCCACTTCATTGTGCCCACGTCTGCAAGTTTTTAAATAAAAGTTTTGTAGTGGTTTCCTTTCCTAGTGCCCTCTCTCTTTCACTGAGGTAGAAACAGGCTGACTGGTGAGAGGAAAAGGCTCCATCAGAGGAACTGAGATCACTGCCCACCTCTCTGTCACCAATGCATCAGAAGTGACAGACATTACAAGACAGCACCTCATTGGGTTTCAGGTCTTTAATTTTCCTGTTTTTCTTTTTGTTTGTTTCTTTCTTTTTTTTTTTTTTTAAACATCAAATTGGCAGAAAAATGGCTGGAGCTGGTAGGCATTGTTCATTGAAAAATCCTCCAAATTCACAATGAAGTTTCAAGTCATGGTCACTGAGGTGGGAGACAAGGCCAGGGTTTGTAGAGATTTCTCAACCTACCCTAGAACTTTCTCCAAATGGCTGATAAAGAGGTCAGAATAGGAGCCCTATTACTGCAGGTGGAGGGAGAAGTCACTGCTCCCCCACCCCTTGAACTGAGATGTGGAGATAGCAGGGGGTGATCTCTAAATGTCTACGTCTTCTCTTAAAAATATAAAACACGTGCAGCTGGCTTTGGTACAAAAAAGAAAAGAAAACAACAAAACCTTCTGGTCCCTGTGGGTTTTTCCCTCACCCTCAATAAGCCATTATGGCCACCCTAACCTCTCCTCCATCAACTCCAGGGAGCAGGTAATCTCCCTGGTTTTCCTGGAGGATCAAGAGAAGGGAGAACAGCGGTGAGAGGGTGAAGGGAGTGGGGAGAGGGACACGGCTAGCCCACAGCCCTCCTTACAGGGGCAGGAGTGCCCTGTGGTTGCAGTCTTTTGTCACAGGTGGGTATTGCTGGGGACGGTCTGCAGCTGCTGGGGAAGCCTGAGTGTACCCCAGTAGTGTAAAAGGACAAGGCCCCCTATCCCTATGGCTTGGTTCCCATGTCCCTGGTCCTTTAAATCTTCCCTCTCCCCCCATAACTAATAAACAATAAATAAATAAATTTTCCTAAAGTAGAGGGAAGAAGGCATGACAAATTGGCATCTGTGGTGTAGCTTTTGGATGCCATTGGAGGAGATTGTGACCTAAATCCCCCAGTTTCCTAAATGGCCCCAGGTATCCAAGGATCCCAAGAGCTGGCAAGGACAATCAGCAGTTCTTTCAAATGTTCCCTCATCATTGGCAGACTGGAGTCCCCTACATTTGCCCCAGCAGCGTGTTCTTCAGTGGGGCACCAGGCAGGGGAAAGAGCCCCCTTAGCTCTCTGAAGCCAGGGGTTCCCCGTCACGACTTTCTGTCTCCTCTGGGATGTCTTGCATTCTGGTGAAGTCTGAAGGGGACAGGGGAGTTCAGAGAGTTAGTGTCTCCCTCGGGCACCTGCACCCCTACACTGATGCTTCCCTGTCTGCAGCCTGGGGTCCTTGGGGCCATGGGGGATGAATCCTTAGGTGAGAGGAGACCTCTGTCCACATCCAGCAGTGCCCACCCCCTTTGTAGTCTTTGGAAATATAGACATGAATACATTAATCAAATACAAAACAGTTGAAGATTCTAACATGGAATCACTGTAGCTCTTTGGTTATTTTGCTTTTCCTGAACCAACTATTTGAGGTCTTAATTTTTTTTTTAACCGCAAAAATTGACTCAGGGCTGCGTTATAGCTCAGTGGCACAAGCGCTTTCCTGGCAAGTGCAAGAAGGTCCTATTCTACCAAACAAACAAACAAAAAATTCATTGGGGGCCAGGGAGATGGCTCAGTAGAATAAGTGCTTGCCTGGCAAGTGCAAGGGCCTGAGTTCAAGCCCTGGTTCTGGAAAAAAAAAAAAAGTTTAGGGAATGGGGCCTAGTTCAGTGGTATAGCACCGCTTACAATGTGTGAGGCCCTGGGTTTGATCCCTAGCACTGCAAATTTAAAAACATGGCTGGGCATGGTGGTGCACACTTATGATCCCAGCACTTGGAAGGCTGAGGCAGGAAGAGCACTGAGTTCAAGGCCTGCCTGAACTGCATAGTGAAATCCTATCTTAAAAACAAGGTTGGGAATCACCAGCCACAGAGAGGCCCCTACAAGAGGCCTTCCTAGAGTACCACTTCCTAGAGTTCCATCACACTCTCATCATTAGAAAAACAGGAGGGAGTCCTCTCCTTCTCCCCAAAGGGGTCCGGTGGCAGCCACAGCCCACGGGCTTGTACCCAGGCTGCAGCCCACCCCTAGTCCCTGGTCAGCACCACAAGGGTCTTACCTCGTGGACTGTGGGGTGGAGACAGACGACTGCTACCTTCCTCCTCGCTGCCGGTATCAGGGTCACTGCTGTCCTGCAGTCGCTCGTCGGGACTGCCTAGCTCCTGCCTCTCTCGGTCCTCACAGGGTCGGTGCACAGAGCGAATCGTCACAGGCAGATCCAGACGGTCATGGCCTCGGCTGGACTGTGCACATCAGGCAGAAAAAAACGGCAGGCCAGGATTGAGCAGTGTGCAGACCACAGGTTCTGCTTAGCTGGACCCCAGTGCTCTCTCTACTGCGCCCCTCCCAAGCAGCTCCACCACTCCTACCTCTTTCAGTGTGACACCCAAGTTATTTCCTGTCGGCACTCACCCATGCACCCATCTAAATTTTGCATGAGTTCCACTGGTACTAGGGATTGATCCCAGGTTCTTTGCACTGAACTACATATCCAGCCATTTTTATCTTTCAGGTTTTTTTGGAGCTAGGGTCTCACTGTGTAACCCAAGCCTGCCTTGGACTCACAGTGATCTTCTTGCCTCAGCTTCCTGAGTGCTGGGATTACATGTATATGCTACCATGCCCAGCGTATCTTTCACTTTGAGGCAGGGTCTTGCTAAGTTGCCCAGCCTGGCCTTGAACTTGTGTTCTTCCCAGAGTGCTGAGATCACAGGAATGTGCTACCAGGAATCTGTTGTCTCATTTGGGCTTCAATCCCCACCAGTTCAATGTCCTTCATGTGGGCCCTGAGTCTGCCTCAGATCAACAGACCACTTCAAACTGCTTTACCTGTGGGGGGGTGAAGCTCAAGTACAGGGCATCGCCTGCTGGGAGGCTACGTCGTCGAGGGTCTAGAGGCCTGCGAGCCCACGGTGCCTCGGCTGGGAGCTGTTCTGTGTGGCCTAAGGCAGCCAGCTGTCTTCGAGCCTCGTCAGCCTCCCGTTCCAGCAGGGCCCGGGCCTGCTCACTCTCTCGAAGCCGGGCCTCTAGGCTGCCAGCCTCTGTTGCCCGTTCTTCCCCCAGCCTCCTGCAGCGCCGCAGCTCCTCCTGCAGCAGTGCGTGCTGCCGCTGCAGTAGCGCCAGCTCTGTGGCCTGCTTTTCAGGAGCTACAGGGACTCCAACCCTGCCAGCCTCCCCGTCCCGAGAGTTAGCTCGGGACAGCTTCTCCCGCCGCTCAGGACCCTCAGGGAACCGGGCTTCCATCAAAGTGTCCTGCTGGGCCACAGCCGCCTGGAGTAGAACAGGGGCAGAGGGTGTGTAAGAAATTCATTTCTTTCTCCCTCTCACCCCCAATCCCCACAGTCCACATCAGCATTCCTAGAGAGCTTAAAAGAAAGAAGCTATAGGGGCTCGGTGGAAAAAGTGCTTCCCTGGCAAGCGCAAGGGCCTGAGTTCAATCCCTGGTTCCGCAAAAAAAAAAAAAAAAGAAAAGAAAGAAAGAAGCTATAGGCCTATAGGAGGGCTGTGTCCTGCTTAAGTAGGCAGTCTGGGCCTCTCCTCCACTCCGACCCTGCCCACTGACCTGCAGGCCATGGAGAAGTCCGTAGAGGTTGATCAATCGCTGTAACACCTCCTGAGGACAGAGAAGGTGGGGACAGGTCTTGCCATGTGTCTCTGGGCAGCTGAAGTACCCGGAAGTTGAGCAAGTATGGGTGTAGGGACAACAGTATCTGCAGATCCACTTTTGTGTGTACTCTTACCCACACCACTCCCTGATGGACTATAATTTCTCAGACTGAGACCACCCTCCCTTCCCTCTCTCACACCACCAAATTCCCGCCTTACCTCTTGGGGGGATCTCAGCTGATTTCCATTCCGATCCTGCAGAAATGGCCAAGGAGGGGTGTCAGCAGGCAGGATCTATAAATCAACTATCCCTATCCATCCTTCAGCTAAATCCCAGAACCTCTCAAGAACCCACCTTCTGGGGCTGGGGAGATGGTTCAGTGACACAAGCGCCTGCCTAGCAAGCACAAGGTCCCCAGTTTGATTCCCAGTACCTAAAAAAAAAGAACCCACCTTCTGGCTAGAGTCTGAGTCAGCTCTACAGAGCTCAATGGAGCCATTGAAAGTTCTGGCTTCACCATCTGTTGAAAAGGGGAAAAGGATGAGCTGAGCTCACTCTGCTATGGCCCTGACCCCACTCAACCAACGCAACACAGGCCATTCTCTTAAGCCCCCTACAGGTCCCACTCATAACCCCCAGCCCCTACCCTGACACTCACTGGCAGTGACCCCAGGACTTGTGTTCCCACCACTATCTGGTTCCAGTGGCAGGGCTGGTTCCCGGGATGTCAGAAGCAGCTCCACACCAGGCCCCACCAGCAGGTCTTTCAACCCCTCCACTGAGAGAAAGAGGAAGAGGTTAGGACAAGGGTATGGATTGTGTGACATATATGGAGACATCTGGGCATTTGGGAAATGCCTACCCAGGCACTAGGGGGTTTTACTCACTAACCATTCAGGAGGCAAAAGTTACTAGACTCCCACAGGGGAGCAGAAACATGCTGTGTAAGAGGTGCCAACCAATAACAAGGACTATGCCTCTTGCCCTGGCTTTCCTAGGTGCTGGCATCCGGGACAGGCATCGCGGTATTTACGAACTATGGTTTGACAGCACTGGGTATGGATGTCCAGGTCTCGCCATGTGTCTGTATGCTGCGGTGGCTTGTGGGGGAACTCCCTCACCTTCACGGATGGCATCCTGCAGCAGGCGCTCACCACGAGGTGACTCAAGGGACTCGGAGCGGAAAAGGCCCCTGGGCAGGGTAGGCAGAGGGATCCCACTGCCGGAGTCCTCCTCTGCCTGGAAGTGGGTCATCTCTGCAAACAGCCCGACCTTCTCCTGCAGCAACTCCACCAGCGCACGGTCCTTCTGCTGCAGCTCCACTGTGGGAAGGGAGGAGTGAGTGGAGGAAGAGCCAGAGGCGGGACAGCCGGGGGCAAATGGGGTCGGGGTAGGACTTCCTTTATGAAAAAGGAAAAACTTTTTTGGGGGTGGGGGAGGGTATTTGAAAAGTAATACTTCTGGTTTTTTTTTGTTTTGTTTTGTTTTGTTTTTTTGGCAGAACCAGGGATTGAACTCAGGCCCTTGCGCTTGCCAGGGAAGTGTTTATCCACTGAGCCATCTCCCTGGCCCCTACTTGTTTTTATAAAACCTAAAAGATTTGTGGCAAAGTTATGTATTGTCCACACAATCCTTTCCATCTTTTTTTTTTTTTAATGTATTTAGTATAGGGTCTACAGGATCTCACTATACAAATAGGACTCATAGTGATCCTGGTTTTTTTTTTTTTCATTACATAAGTTAACCCATTTATTATAGGCTAGGGATATCTCAAATACTAAGAGCTTCTACTGGTCTTTCAATTCCTTCAGTCTTCTGATGGTTGACTTGACTATAACTGTAGAAATGGTATTGTAGGTCCAGGTGCCACCAGCCACGGTCTTCATGCAGGAGCCATGGTGCCAGATCCCCACGGCCTGCCTCTTCATCTTGGTCTTGCCACAGAAGGAGCAGGTGTACTTGGCGTGGTGGCTGATTTCAATCTGCTTCACCATTTTCCAGAGGGAGGCACCACAGCGAGTGCCGTATTTACCAACAATGCCGACCTTCTTGGTGCACTTAGCCATGCCGATGTGAGGAGGTCCAAACCCAGAGAGGAATCCTTCCTGTTTTTTTAGCCTCCCAAACACTGGAATCACAGGTTGCGCACCACCACGCCCAGTCTCCATCACCATCTCAGTGAACCCCGGCTGCTGCGCTCTGCCTAAGCAGGCACTGTAGTCCTCTGAGCTACCTGGCCGGCCCTTCCTTCCCATGTTTTTTTTTTTTTTTTTTGGCAGAATTGGGGATTGAACTCAGGCCCTTGCACTTGCCAGGCAAGCGCTTATTCTACTGAGCTACTTCCCTGGCTCCACCTTCTCATCTTTAACTTGAAACAATGTACAAGTTTCATCTGGCACAAGGCTTCCAGTTAAGGATATTTTCCCAGCCCAATATGGAGTTAGGTATTGCCACATGACTAAACTCTGGCCTCTGGACATGAACAACTTTCATATTGTCCCTTTGTGGTACAAACCTGTAATCCTAGCTGCTGAGGAAGCCAAGGCAGGATGAATATAAATCTGAACCCAGCCCAGACAACTTAACAGACCTTCCCTCCAAATAAAAAATAAATAAAAAGGGCTGGGGATGTAGCTCAGTATTCCCTGGGTTCAATCTCACAGTATCTCACTATATATTCAGGTGAAAACTCACAGTGAACCTCCTGCTTTCACCTCCTGAGGACTAGGATGACAGGTGTGTTTGGATATATTGGTGTTTTTGGGTTTTTTTATGTATTCAGTACAGGGTCTACAGGGTCTTATCAGACTCACAGTGATCCTCCCGTTTTCAACCTCCCAAGTGCTGGGATTACAGGTGTGCGCCACCACTCCCAGTCTCATTTGCAGTCTCAGTGCACCATGGGGGCAGGGCCAGCACGACATGGGGATTAAACCCAGGAACCCAAGTGCTTGCCTAAGCAGGCGTTTAAGTCTGCTGAGCTATTTGGCTGGCCCTGGATACACTGTTGAAGATGTCAGAACTGCACCACTATCCCGTACTTCCCATTCTGGACTCTTTAAGTAGAGGAATTAATTGCTTTTTAAAAGCAACTTATCTATGCCACATGTACCCGATGAACAAATTGTTCTACAGCTAAAATTTAAATTTTTTTTACCCAACCTGATTCTTCCTGCCCCCTTCTCAGAGGCAGCCATAGTAGTGGTACTACACAAAAAACATATACACGTGTACATATTTGTCCATATTACTTTCACACAAATTGCAGCGTACACTTGACATTATTCTAAATTTTTTTTTCTTTTCTGTATTTTAAGAAAGGGTCTAGGGGGGCTGGTGAGATGGCTCAGTGGTCTAAAGCACCTACTTAGAACAAGCTTAGCAAAAAAGCACAGGGACCGCGGTTCAATCCCCCAGCACCACATGCCAGCCAGCCCTGCCCCCGGTGGGCTGAGCTGGCCCCCCCCCACATAAATAAATAAAATTAAAAATTAAAAAAAATTAAAAAAAAAAAGAAAGGGTCTAGGGCTGGTGAGATTGCTCAGTTGTCTAAAGCACCTACTTAGAACAAGCTCAAAAAAGCACAGGGACCGCGGTTCAATCCCCCAGCACCACATGCCAGCCAGCCCTGCCCCCTGGTGGGCTGAGCTGGCCACACACACACACACACACACACACACACATAAATAAATAAATGAAAGAAAGGGTCTACAGAGTGTTCAGGGTCTCACTACTAGATTGGACTCGTAGTGATTCTTCTGTTTACAGCCTCCCAAGTGCTGGGATTACAGGCACACACTACCATGCCCAGTCTCTCAGTGCACTCCAGGGGTGGGGTCGGCCCGAGGATTGAACCACCCCTGGCCCCTGCGCCTGCTTGCAGGCACTTTAATCTACTGGGTTATTTGGTCAACCCTTATTGTTTCAAATCTTGCTTTCACTTAACATATCTTGGTTCACATCTGTGTCGGTCTTCACGGAGCTACCTCATCTTTTTAATAACTGTACATGGCCGAGGATATAACTCAGGGGCACAGCACCTGCCTGGCAAGCACGAGGCCCTGAGTTCAATTCCTATACCAAAACAGAACAGCAGGTGCACAGTATGGCATTGTATGGACATATGACAAATCATTTCAGGAGCTCTGTGGGTAGACTTACTCTTGATGCGTCGCAGGTAAGCTTCATCTTCTGTCTCAATCAGGGGGAAATCCTCCCGGGATGGGCATCTGGAGAGGTTACAAGTCAGGTGGGGATGGGGAAGAGACACCAGGTTACACACCAGGTATGTGTCCCTCCTCCCTTCCAATGGTCCAATGCTCCCTCTTCTGGTAGGAGTCCTCAGTCCCAGGGCCTGGCTTCCTTCACCACTGACTTCCTTTAGATTATGCTGATATTCTGTGTCTACCAGTATGCACCTCTCAGGATTATAAAGATTATAAAATCCTGGGCTGGAGGGATCACCTGGAGCCTAGCATGTAGAAGGCCCTTGGTTTGATCCCCAGCACTGCAAAATTGGAGGATTTTTTTTTTGGCTGGCTCAGGACGCCTTAAGGGCATGTCTGGTAAGGCATGAGGATCTGGGGATCGAACCACAGCATCCTGAGCCAGACTGTTTGCTTAAGCAGGTACTTAAACTGAGGTACTGGGCAGGCCCCCAGCACTGCAAAATAAAACTAAACAAAATCTTCGTCAAGACTTAATTTTGTTTGTTCTCTAAGAGTTCACCCTTCAGGCATAATCTTTCAGAAGTCATTTCATATCTGCCTAGCAAGCCAACGATGATGGCACATGCCACACATGCCTATAATCCCAGGACCTGGGAGGCTGAGGCAGGAGGACTGCCCTGAGTTTGAGCCTGGGCTACATAGTGAGTCCAAGTTCACTCTGAACTATGTATCAAAACCTATCTCAAGGGCTGGAGAGATGGCTCAGTGGTCTAAAGCACCTACTTGGAACTAGCTTAGCAAAGCATCAGGGACCGCGGTTCAATCCCCCAGCACCACATGCCAGCCAGCCCCGCCCCCTGGTGGGCTGAGCTGGCCACACACACAC